GGGGTGGGTTGGTGCTGGGGCCGGGTATTCGTTTTCTTTTTTTCGCCTGTGCAGAAGGGGGTGGCGTGGCGGGTTCGCTTTTGCGTGTCATCCATTCTTTTATCCTTTTGTTGGGTTGTGTGGCTGTTGGGGTGATCGTCTCTGTGATGTTTCGCATGATCATTCCGTGCGTGTCACCGTCGCCCTCCCACTGGTGGAAGGACATGGACGCCCTTATTATAAATGTGAGTCCGCACCAGGCGAATCCACTCTGAGCAGTTCATCGTCGAGCAGTCCCGCCACGAGTGTGTGTACCTCTGTGCGCCCGTGCTCTTCTGTCACTCTCCTCGCCGTAGTGGATCCTGCGCTCCTGGCAGTCCCTCGTCACGACTTGGTTTCTCTGTTGTCGTCCACGACCCGCCATCATTCGCTCGCCGGGTAGCATACATCTCCGTCGGCAGGCACCTCTTCACGCCAGCGGAGTGGTCCATCGTCTTCGGAAGCGGGACAATCGCCTCCAAGGTCGTTGTGCGTGTCGTGCTTCTCCAATGTTGGTCATCGTCGGGTCGCCTTCACCACGCGGCTTTTTACGGGTGATTGCCTCCACCAGCGCAACGTCGAGGCTTTCGTTGACGATCTTCTCTCCCTCGCCTTTCCGTGTGCAGCATTCAGTGGACGGCGGTGCAAGTTCCCGCATAGGCGTTGAGTAGTGCCATGTCTTTAAAGGGAGGAGTCGTCGGTCGCGGGCGAGGGAGGAAACGTGATGATGCCGTTGATGACGACGCTGGGGGGGGGATACGGAGGAGGGCGGCATGTGACAAAGGCGGAACGGGTCCGTGTGGACATTGCGTCAGTGACTGGCATGCAAATGGAGGGTGACGGGTGGGAAAGACCAGGCGCTAGCGACGACAACGACGTCTTCACAACCCCCGCTCCTCAAGTTCCGCCGCCGGTTATGCCTTCCAATGTTCGCGGACGTGTTGCAACATCGTCCGCGCAGGCTCGGACACGCGAAGAACGCATCATCAACGTTGATGTCGATGAAGTTGTGAGGGCGGACGATGGCGAAGGGGGTGCAATGGTCGCACCTTTAACGACGCCGCAAGGGAGGAATCGCCCAGTCGCCGGAACCGGGCCAACTGCGATCAGCCATCAAGTGGCTATGGCGACGAGTCGACGACGCCTCGTCAGCAATATGCAGGTGACGATCGTGGATCTGGTGGTGCGGCCGACGCAGGCGAGGCAGGAGATTCGGCGCAGCCCTGCCATGCGGGTGGTGACATCGAACACGTGGCGGTGACACCGTGGGGGACGGGAGGGGAGGGGCGCAGGGGGGAGGAGGTGGCCAGGGCATTGGAGCAGGCGCGTGCGGAGAAGAAAAAGGCGGCGGAGGATGGCGAACCTCTCGTGAACAGGGTGTGGAAGGGCGGAGTGGCAAAAGATCTCGCGGATCGGGCGAACTGTGGGTGGACAACAAGTCTTTCTGAACGTGGGGGAGGGTTGCAGACTATACAACATCGTGAACGACACATGTGAGCACCTCGTGGCCATTGCGAGTGGACTTCCTCTCCCGGAAGTCCCCAGAAGCGTCATCATGTCGAGATCAAACGTGACACAGATGAGGCTTACGGATGCAGGGCAGCTGAAGGGAGCGCTGAGTCGTGCATCGAAATGCCAGAATGTGGCGATGCGGGTTTTGCATGGGTGGGTCTTCAAGTCGGGATGCAGAGAAAGGGGATACACTCTCGCCTTCCAGTACGTCCTGGAATCAGTGGCGACCAACATTGCACATGCAATGTGGCATGGTGAGGAGTGGAGCAATGTGGTGAGCCCAACAGTTTGCGCGCATACGCTGGACCTGGGGATGGACCTGCCGCTGTGGTACGCATGTGTGGGCATTGAAGACAGGCCGAGGGACGACGACATGGCATCTTACCAGGAGGCGACTCTTATGCGACTGGTCGCGACTTTCAGCACGGCGGTTGAAACAGGGCAATCAATCGACTGCGGATGCATCACTCACGAACGTCTGTGGCATGTGGCCGAAAGCTTCAAGGTCCTGTTGGCAGCGTCCATGTGGATCATGCGAATGTCGGGAGACGATCTGAGGTCCCACTACGAATCTTTTTATCTCGCCAACCTCGCCACGAAGCCCATGTTTGTTGCGTCCATGCATCGTGCCTTCGACCATCGACGTCATATCTTGACCACGGTGAACTCTGTGACCGAACGACTGGGGAAGGCGCAGGTAACCTTGGGTCACTGGCCGAATTTCATCCCGAGTGGGCTTCTTGCTGCGTGAAGTTCAGCCATGACGCGACCTTGACAGGCCCTGACGAGGCGCGAGGGCTTCAGTGGTTGGGGACGGCCCATCGGTAGGCGACGACAACGACGATGACGAAGATGGCTGAGCGCCGAGGGGGGGGGGGGTGCGTGGACGACCGTGATCATGATGCTGCGATGATGATGATGCGGCTTCAAACGTGGAAAGCACGACAACGCGATGATGATGATGATGATGATGATGATGATGATGATGACGATGATGATGATGATGACGATGACAATGACGATGATGATGATGAGATGATGATGATGAGGAGGAGGAGGAGGAGGAGGAGGAGGATGACGACGGTGGTGATGATGATGATGATGATGATGATGATGATGATGATGGTGATAATGATTATGGCGAGCATGACGGTGAAGCTAACCGCCATGATCACGACGATGATGATGACGATGACGATGATGAGGCGGAAGTCGATCCACGACGACGCCGTCCACGTGGCGACGATACTGCCGCTGGCAGAGGCCGTGCTCTCGCCCGCCATGACGGCGTCATCACTTCGCGCGGGCGAACGGTCTTCTCCATTTTGTAGTTCATGCGACTGCGGTCGTGGTCGCTGTTGTTAATATGGTCGGTAGGGCGGCCCGATTCGTTTCATTGTTATATTACTTTTTAGTTAGTTTTTTTTTTTTTTCTTAATGTTTTCTTTCGGTAGTGGTGAACGACGAATTCGTGCGCGTGTTGACGCCTTCCCGGAGCGGCTGCTGTCGGCAGGAACACATAAAACATGTTCTCGCAGTTTCATTTTCTTCGGGGAAGCTAAACCGGTAGAGGTTGGGGAGAGTGCAAACGGGGGAATTTTTTTACCCGCCGTCATGTGTGTGTGCGCTTTCAGATTTCGCAGTAAGGGACCATTCTTGTACCTTGTTTTGGGAAGAGTTTGCAAAGCTTGTCATCGGCAAGCCACATTAAAGATTGTTGTCATCTCTGCAGTCGGACAGAATTACAGTGCATGGCATTGCTTTTGCTTGTGTGTTTGTGGTTTTGTTGAGTTCGACGTAACGACGAAATGAACACGACATGTGGGATTGAATTCTTGAACATCAGATGATGGGAATGCTTGCCAACGTTTTGTATTCGAACTTCAAACAAGGGATCACCGAAATATGTAAAATGTTTTGCAGTTATGCACACCCACATAGCATGGCAACAAGTGTGAAATGAGGATGCCATCCTCCACAGACCAAAAAAAATAAAAAAATAAAAAAAATAAACCCATTATGGCGCGGGAAGAGGCAAGCAACCGCAACAAGGATTTCCATTCACTTTCATATCATCATTGTCTGCCAATCTGCGCATGCAACATGGCGAGCAAAGGTATACAAGTCATCCTGCAACACCAAGCGATTCATGACCAACGAATTCAAAAAAAAAAAAAGGTTCTTCCAATACTCAAGATTCGTACAAGTGTACGAACCACAACAAATGTACGGCACCATGATCCGGCTGACGGACAGCCGACCCTCTACACGACCAAAACAACACATACGGATTGACGAAAACCAACGGCGAAACACGACCCGGCAACTTCACGCACGACAACTACATACTGGCGGATGACAACGTGCACAGCGCCGGTGATCCAAGAGCTTCAAAATGCACGAGACAAACCAAACACTACTCTCCACGGACCACGTCACAATCGAACCCGGCTGCCGATCACACTACCACCCCCCMCCCCCCMCCCCCCCCTGCACGGTCCTACATCAAAGCTAGGCGGTCTCGAAGTGCATCCCGCAACAAGTCCCCGTCCACGTTCGTGCTTTGTTGCCGCCCGCCTGCGCCGTTCGCCACAATGGCCAAGTCCACTCTACGCCGGACGCCGTTCGCGTCCACCTCCCACAGAAGGTTCTCGTCGAAGTCGATCCCCACGTCCAGGAGAATTTGTGGAGAGTACATACGACGATGAATTGTTGTGGCAAGGTCTCCAAGTTCGCCTTGTGGGTGCGCAAAAAAAGACGCCACATGCACTTCAGACGCTCGAATGCCCTCTCCACACACCCCCGCGCCACCTTCTCGCGCGTGTGGAAACACTCCTCGTCAGGACATTGCTCGATTCCTCCGTACGGCTGGACGATCCATGGACAGGCAACTGGATAACCGTTGTCGCCCAGCAGGTAACCTCGCGTGACGACACCGTGCGGCAAATTCTCCGGAGGTGCGTCGAACAGCTCGCCGCTTTCTGCACGCCTCCACAGATGGGAGTTGTGCAGGACACGGACGTCGTGCACACTTCCCGGGTATCCCACGTGGACGTCAAGGACACGCAGATCCAAATCCACCACCACCTGCGCTTGGACGGAGAACTTCTGTTTGCGGTCGTAGTAGTTGCCTGAGGGCGCGCTGATGGGCTTGTCAATGTAGATGTGTTTGCAGTTGATTGCGCCGAAGCAGTTAGGAAAACCCTTCTCACGGAAAGCGCAAAGAATCTGCACACATCTCCGGCCCACTGGCCACTTGATCACGTCGGGTTACGCCTTACGCAGCGCCGAAGTCACGTCACGGACGGCCTGCAGTCCAGTTGCCCTGCTGATGCTGAAGGCTGACGTGCCGCTCTCGTACGTCTCTCCGGACACTGACTTGTACAACGCGAAAGCGATCACCTGCTCCACAGGCAATGGCATCCTGTAGTGTGTCACCTTCTTCTCCACGTACGCGGCGCACGCGGCTACGATCTGGGTGAACACAGACCTCGACATGCGCAACTTCTGGTGGTAGTAGTCTTCAGTCGCGTCATCACACAGCCGCGAACTGACCTCAATAATATCTCCCCCCCGCCCCCCCCCCAAATAAAAATGTGGCTTCAAAGTTTTAATGTGGATTTATTTTTTTTAAAGTAAACTGGATTTCGACAGATCTCAAATAGCGCAGTCGGAATCCGCAGAAGAAAAAAAAAAAAAAAAAAAAAAAAAAAAAAAAAAGGGACGTTTTTTTATTATTTAAAAACCGGTTTTACCGGCTCACCTGGGACTAGGACCCCCTACCGAAGTAATAATAGGTGTGTGACACAATTTTATGTTTTTTTTGGAAAAGACAAAGTGATTTTTTATTCGCATAAATGGATTGTTTTTTTTTTTTTTTTTTTTTTAATGAATTGAAACCAGGTATCTCTGATACATAAACCAAATATGAACAGCTGTGCACCTGAATTCATGGGTTGGCACCATCTTCTTCATGTCAGTCTGCATAGTGATGTACCATGGCAATAAAATGTGTCCACGAACACAGCCACGAGGATGAACAAGTAACGGGTACGGGGATACATTCATCACCGTGTATCTTATGATGATGCCTCTAACAGGCCATCCGACAGACGCGGAAGGGTTCCTGTCAGATCCACCACGATGTCTGAAATTCTCTGAATCTCACATTTGGAATGCTGTTTTTTCGGACTTTTTGGAATGGTGTTTTTTTTTTGTTTTTTTTTTTGCTGGGACCGTCCTGGGTCCTTGCATGGGCTGGACCCAGGCGGCCCGGCTGGTAGCCTAGCTTATAAGGGAAAATTGCATCTGTACCCCACTTAAAGATGGGAATACCGGGTATACCCAGTCCTGCGCCAACTTGCGTCAGACTCTATACCCAGAAAACGGCTGGTGGAAATTGTTTGCATGCCCAGGACCGAGGTGGACCCAGGTTGGTACCGCAAAATTGCGGTTATAACCAACTACCGGAATGCACAAATCATGGACATACCCACTGTGACACAAAATTTTGGGCATCCCAGGGACCTGAGGATGCGCGGCCAAATTGTTCATATACCCTGCGGCCGGGATGGCTGAAACTATGCTCATACCCAGCAGCCTTTGGGCCAGCACAATGGTCTACTTGGTGGGCATGAGCATAATTTGCTGCTCCGAATCCAGGGCCTGCGGGATTGGGTACACACCTACACTTCCAAGCACTGCCAGGGGAAAAGGTGGGTACTTTGACAAACTTCAACGGCCTCTGGGGTATAGATGCAAGCTGGCACTGGGGCTGGGTATTCCTGATATTCCTATCTTTAAGTGGGGTACACTTGCAATTTTTCCTTGTTATAATGACCCTGAAAGAACCCTGAAAATTTAGGACATGTCCAGATTCAGGTTTGAAGGGGATGACTTCGAAAGTAAGAATGAAAAAAAA